TGATGCGCGATCTTTAGCCAGTCTAAAGCGGTATCGACAGCCATAATAAAAAATTAAGCTAAATATAAAAATATTGATAGTAAACTTCAATTAAATTAATAAATACTTTTTCCATAAATTGAAATTGTTCTGTTACAGCTATCATTATATTATTTCATATATTCGATACCTACAAATTTCCATTTGTCCCAAATAGTATATTGTGTATGGGGTAAATGAAAATTAAAGTATAGTTGATAATGTTATAAGCCTGGGGCAAATGAAAATTTGTTTGAATTACATAAATTACAATTAAATTAGACAAATAATTAGGTAATCTTTATTATTTTAACATAATTTAGTACAGTTTAATGCTTACTTACTATTTCATAAACTTTCAAATTATATTAACAGTCTTTTGTTTTCATATAGTAGTGATAATAATAATTTAACATAAAAAATAACAATGTCAAGTAAAAATTATAAACAAAATAACAAACTAACAGCATTTTTAGTTTTAAAATATATCACATAAATTAATGTATGAATAAGTAGTTAACATAGTGCCTAAACTGATTATTTTTCATTGACATTTATGTATCCAGGAAATGTGTATATCGTTTTTCTGTTCTTCTTATGTTCAGTTGATATTGGTAATATTGCAAGAATCATCTCTACTGTAATATCTGACAAGTCATTTTCAACAATATAAAAATCAGTTCCAATTTCATTATTTTTTTTTTAATCCTCGTACTAAAATATCCCCATCAACTTCATCTACACGTTAAACTAAACATACATACTTAAAATGATGTTTCTTACGGTTCCCTCCAATAAAATCTATTAAAAGAAATACTCCGGTTTTATTTGAGACCAAATTGGTGTATTATATAAAACTTCTTCAATACTTAAATCTAATGAATTGTCATTACAATCATCTTCTGATGAATGATAAACTACATCATCAATATAATCAATTGATTGTTCCAACACAATATTTTGTGCATCTTTAACAGCTTTCTTAGGTCTCTCAAGTTTACTAGGATATTTGATTAGCTTTTTCTTTGAGGTTGCTTCCTCCAATTATTTTAACACATTTTTATATGTTAAAACTTCATCATACTTTGTTACTCTAAAACGAGGAACTTGGTCTTTTGTAACACAAATTGTATTGTTAGTTTTATATTGTATTAATTGAATTGAAAAAATAGATATTATATCTTTTGGGCTTACTGAGATATTATTACTTGATGTTGGAAAAATTTAGTCTATAAAAGTGTTTGACGTTAAAGGTTCTAATGAAATTTGATTTTCTACAACTGTTAATATGTTTTTTTGATATAATTATGCACTCTGAAGTTGAAAAAAAAATGATAAAGATCGTAATATTTCAAATTATATTTGTTATTAATATTTCCATTTACCCCAAAACCAAATTTCTATTTACCCCAATTGATTTTTATTTTGTATTTTACAAAAAAAATATAATTACATAGAAAAAGTGATATTAAACTAGTTTTAGGGTCGTACAGTAAATAAGTAAATATGAAATGACAATTTAGTTCAAACTGTACTGTTTTACTTATATTTTTGATGAGGATGCCCTTCTCAAAAGCCGTTGAGCAGAAAATATATTCTAAAATAATCATTAACACTTTTTCAAATGATGCCAATTTGTACATATCCTCAAATTTTCCATATTTTTATCATTGCGCACTATTATACCTTATGTGTACTGTGGTTACAATGATATCGAATTCTATAATCACTAATAATTTATTTTAAATAATATTTTTTTCCTTTTGCCCCAATTTCCATTTACCCCACTTGACCCTAGTATTAATTTATTATAAATTATTAAAAAAGCTGTCCTGATGAATATTTTTAGATACATCTAATTTAGACGTATCTAATGATTAATTTAATCATCAAAATATATGAAAAATAGTTTTTAGATATTTTTGAAATGAATGAAAATAAATTATCATATATAGTTTTGATTTTACGAAATACATGTGAAAAGTCATGATTTTTCGAGTTCTAAAGCTTTCATAAATTCCTTTTCCCGTTATTTATATAAATTATTTTTACTATAATAATCGCCATATAAACACTGTAATTACATAGCAATAAAAAAAAAAATTAATAGATTTAGTAAACATTTATTATTTCAATTTTTAGATGAATAGAAATATATGACTGATATTTTATTCAAATAATAAATATATGAATAGTAAAATGAAATAATGTTATGGGTAACATTTTTCTTATGATTCATTAAAAATTTTCATTTATGGTATATTTTTTGGAAATTAATTGTTCGACAAGACGCATTAACTAAAATAAAACTTAATTTAGAAATATTTTTGTCTTACTATTTTGTTTTTTATATAGTTATATTGATTTTGGTTAATCGATTCGATTCATTTAGTACAAAACAAAACGAGTGTTATATAAAATAATGGAATTAAGACGTGATCATAAATTATTTTTCAACTTGACATTTTTTTGCAAAAAACTGTTAAGAAAATGATATTGTTTCAAATACAATATCCTTTGAATAAAATAAAATTTATTTTTCGTAAATTTATTGAAAGTATAATATTTAAATACAAATTTATTTATTTTTTATGTTGTAAATGAGGTATTCAAAACATTACCAATAAATATCTTGTCTTGAGTTTATTCATTATATTAATTTAAATTAAAAATACTTAGTTTTACATAACAATAAGACGTTACAATAAAATCATAAAAATAAATCGTGACAAGCGCCACAATCATCTAAGACACTAAATTTGCTTATTTGATTTAAATTAAAATCATTTTTTATATTTATGTTCTTAAAAAAAAGTAAACTTATTAGAAACGGCGTACTTAGGCAAAATAACTGCCATGGTCATTTATGATCTGACGTTTTATTTTATTTCTATATGTCCAGTGTTCTAATTTATCGTAATTTTAAGTTTTAAAATTCAATAATTCAAATAATTTTGTAAAAATTATTGCAAAATTAATTTATGGCTAATTGAAAACAACTAAATAGTTTTTTAAAAAGAAACTTAAAATGTAGAATAAAGATAAAAATAATAATAAATACTTCCATTTGAATTTCACAGGAGTTTTNTAATAAAAATAAAAATAATAATTAATACTTGCATTTGAATTTCACAGGAGTTTTAAAATAATTGTAAATATTTTATTTAAATATGTAAAGAGAAATTGATGAGTCGAAATGTTTTTATATTATTTCATTAAAAAAGAAGGTGTTGGTTGTAGACCTTAACTATAAAATCAATACTACTCATTGAGGCCAATCGTTGCAGACTTGTAATTCAAAATAACACATTTTGATAATTAAATGTTTTAATTGTTGGCCAATCGAAGAAATGTTTTGTTATATTAATTGGCTGAAATAACATGAAAAAAGTCAAATTTTTTTTGTATAAATAGGATAAAAAATGCTGTTTAAATCGACACCGTTTGGTGATTTTTGCTTTAGTTATTTTTTGTGATAAATGAGTACGTATATTCTTTAAACACTTTAACTGTTACATTTTTCTCTAAGTATATCTAAAATTTTTTAAGTTTTTTGTTTATATATTTATAAAAAAATATGGATTCGCATTTGTTTTTCGTGATAACGACATTGGTGATATATTTTATAATTCCATTTCAAGTAATTAGAGATATTATGTTTATTGCATTGGCAGTTGTGTCACTGCAAACTTTTTTGGAGATGAAACTTTTTAAGAAGAAAATTACTTCAACTAAACCAGTAGAATCCATTATGAATAATCGCTGCCCAGTTTTGACTACACATCCTATAAATTTGGAAACACCTATTTTGACAAAAAATTCAATTTTAGAAGAACCGCTCATAGAAGATAAATTTACGGGAACTCCGATAATTGAAACNCGATAAATTTACGGGAACTCCAATAATTGAAACCGAAAAAGAGCTCTCAAACACTGATACGAATATTTTATTAACGAATAATGAAATAGAACCCGTCAAAAAACTAAACCCAGAAATTGTTACGAAAACTGAAATTGAAAAAGAGACCACTAACATTCCTATAGAGACTTCTGTATTAGCTGATAAGTCTTTTAACTCGGNCATTAGCTGATAAGTCTTTTAACTCAGATATAATACAGTCACGAAACAATAATTCAACACAACTCTTTGAAATAGTGCCAGAAAATATTGTTACAACAGATCAAGAAAACTACACCTTAATAGAAAATTCACTCAAATTTAATAGAATACAGTCTAAAAAATTATCAGAAAATATTATAACATCTAACACTAACAGTGCGTTGCTAAGTAAAAAAACTGAACTTTTTACTCCAGAAGATCTGGAAAAGACTAAAGTGAATGGAAATTTAGGACGTGAAAATAATAACAACAAAAATTCCACAGCTAGAACTCGTCCTAATGACATTAAAAAACATTTATGGGATAAGAGGTACTTATTGTTTTCAAAATTCGACGAAGGAATCATGATGGATAATGGTAATAAAATTATTATTTCAACAAACTTAAGTGTTTTACTATATTTGACGTTTTTTTTTTAGAATCATTTTATTCAGTATGTCNCAAAAACAATAATTCAACACAACCATTTGAAATAGTGCCAGGAAATATAATTACTACAAATCAAGAAAACCGCACCTTAATAGAAAATTCACTCAAATTTAATAGAATACAGTCTAAAAAATTAACAGAAAATATTATAACATCTAACACTAACAGTGTGTTGCTATGTAAAAAAACTGAATTTTTTACTCCAGAAGACCTGGAAAAGACTAAAGTGAATGGAAATTTACAACGTGAAAATAATAACAACGAAAATTCCGCAACTAGAACTCGACCTAATGACATTAAAAAACATTTATGGGATAAGAGGTACTTATTGTTTTCAAAATTCGATGAAGGAATCATGATGGACAATGGTAATAAAATTATTATTTCAACAAACTTAAATGTTTTACTTTATTTGACGTTTTTTTTTTTTTAGAATCATTTTATTCAGTATGTCCCGAAATCTTGAGTACACACATAGCGTTAAGATGTCCAGGCCTACACGTCGCTATGGATCCGTTTTGTGGTGCTGGTGGTAACGTCATCCAATTGGCCAAAAGATACAAACAAGTAATCGCTGTGGATAACGATGCTAATAAATTGGAATTCGCGAAAAGAAATGCTGAGATTTACGGAGTCAGAGAGAAGATTACATTTATACTGGGAGATTTCTTTGAAATCGCAGAATCCTTAAAAAAATATAAGCCACAGGTAATAGTGACTTCTCCTCCATGGGGCGGCCCTTCGTATAAGAAACATGAAGAGTACAGTCTCGAAAAGCATATGTGTAGCAACTACGAAGGAGGCGGTAAAAAACTCTTCGACCTGTTGAGAAGTATTGCTCCCAACGTAGCACTTCACATACCTAAAACTACAGGTCGAAACGAGGTAAATGATTTAAATTTCTATAAGTAAATCATAATTGTAGTTAATGTCGATCAATTAATTTTTAGTTGATACAATTTGGCAAACTATTCGATCTAAACATGGAAATTCAGCATAATTATATTGACAATAGACACGATTCCATCACTGCGTTTTTCGGCCACTTTTTCAATATGAACACTAAATACTTATCCAACGACAATAAACTTTACACTAATAAAAAATTCTTGAAGTATCCAGAATCAGCTGATTACTATTATTGTTAAATATTAATCCAATCAACTTTCACTATTTTTCGATTAAGTACTGCTTTGAATTTTGATTTTTTCTAATTATTGACACTATACTGATAAAAGACGAATTTCGGTATATTCTAATTTTCACGTTAAAGATACTACCGATTTTCGAATAAATATAAATACCTTTTAATTCTTAAATTTTTGCCGCAGCATTCTGTCGGATGATATATTTTACTGAAAAGTAAATTTAAATAATTGTATTTTCATTATATACATTTTATTATAAAACGTATAATTTTTTTATGCGCTTGATTTATATAACTTGAATTCAATTTTTTAATGATTTTAGTTTTATGTTTAATATTTTTACTGTAAATTCTACATTAAATTTTTCTTGAATTTATTTTGTTGATTATAAATAAGTAAATATACTTTATTTCTTAAAATTGTATAACTCAAACTATTTGTTATATTGTATTCTATAATAAATAATTATTATAAAAAATCAAATTATTTTAGTTATTTTTCTACAAATTAATTTGAAAATATTTCATTGATTTATTATTAAATCAATGTTTAAAAAGTTGATTTATGTTGTTTAAAAATTATTAGAACATTTTATACTGATTGTTGAATAAATTAATGATAATTGATACAAATTAAATAAAATTATGCTCTATAAATAACAATTATCTTATTGTTTTGATACTTTTCATGTCAAACTTAATGCCAATCTTAATGTTTTTAAAATATACATCCATTGTTTTTTAAGTTTTTTTGTGATGTTGTTGGATTTGATTAATATATTTAACTTTTAATTTAGTAAACAATTTAGCCGCTAGTAGTCAATAAAAATTTTTTTAATATTAATTATTTAAACCACATAAGGATAAATAAAAATAGAAACACTTAAAATCGTCTCTTTTCTAATATATTAGAATGAAAATTCTGAAACCCATAAAAATTCTTTAGTTAATTACAGCATCACAAGACCAATACCTTCTTAGTTTCGCTTCAAAATAACAAATGAACAAAGTAAGAAATGTTGAAAAATTTACTCAATTGAACGTGTTATAAATATTGATTATAATTGTAAAAATCCATCGATAAATTCACGTGAAATCCGAAATCATTTTTTTTTTAAATATGATTTATTAAATAACATGTTACCAACATATTTTGAATATTATAGAATAGTAGTAGAATACTCAATTAGAGTAAAAAACTAAATAAATAACAAAGTAAGGTTATACGAATTCTTAATTGTGTCGGCGAACATAGAGGCAAGTAGTTCGGACCGGTTGACCAACTGCCTAGCTTGAATTCAATGAGGATCGTTTCTACCTGCCGGGCTGAGAGAGAATGAGGGTTGCCTGTAGTTTCAACGACCGTTAGTTTGCAAGAACAAATTCAAGGAAGAAAGACGTAGCAGTTATCCCCTTTCTATATTTCTTATTATTTTTTGTAAGTTATTTTTTTTTAGAATAAGCAAGTCAGTTTGGGTTTAATTATTCACCATTAGTAAGCTTATTTATTTTTTTGTTGCCTAGAATAAATTTGTCTACTAAAGAAAAATAATACAATATTATTGATTGAGGGCCAATACCCCTAACATTTAGAGCAATTCTAAATACAAACTAACAGCATGAGTCCACCTGCGCTCAACTGCGTTAGGCACAATTCACGTAACCGGAAAGTGATTAAATAAAGATGGCGTCGTCCCGCAATGTGCTGTAACTATGTGTTATACCTTATTTCTGTCTTCTAGTCATCGGTGTCGGTGCACTGCGGTGGTCGACACACGTCTAGTGTACTCGTACAAGGCGGTACTCTACTTTGGTGTGCCGTCGGTACCCCGCGAATACCACGTCATGTTGAGGGCTGTTTGCGCATTATTCATAGATTAAGCTACACGACTTAACTCACAACATACTACTTGTTTAACTAGCGTAGGCTACTCATGCAGTTAGGTTATAACGACATTTGATATATTTTACATATGGTAGAGCATCACAGACTGTTTATGATAACAGTTGTCCCGAGTATTATCAAGTTGAAACCTATTATCATATCAAACTTAATTCGACAATACACATTTTAAAAATATAAGAAATTAATGATTTGAATTGTCTAAATGGAGAAATTTGGTTAAACAACATTTTATTTGATAAAGGAGATCGAGAAAGAAATTGTTTTCAACTTTTGAAGGTAAATCTTTAACTAGATATACTAGTTTTGATTATTTGACTATTAGTGTCATGGACGTGACAACCGTACATCACATATATTGGTAACTAAAAATGGAAAATTTAAGCTAGTTCAAAAATTCAAAGTCATTTTTCTTAACTTAGGTGAGGCAAAATATTTAATTAAAACATTTATGAAAAAGTTAGTTTTTGTAAAAAAGTTGCTATTTTAAATCCCCCTAGTGAGCAAGTTAAATAATAGATTTTCAAAAAAAATGATATCAAATGAAAAGGAAATATCTAAAATTTTAATATAAAAAAAATTATGTTGATTTGTTGGTTTTTGAAAAAGTTATGGAAGTTTTAAGAAGAAAAAGTGAAAAAAATAACAAAATTTACAGATTTTTAAATTTGTAATATTTTTGGATATTTCCCTCATATCAAAATTTTTCAATTTTTAAGGGTAATGTCTTCTACTAGATACGATTTGTGATCTGTTGACGTATTGTTAAAAGAAATCGGTCTAATGAGACATAAACAGACATAAAAATAAAAAATAAATAAAAAACACATCATAGTAAAATTAATACCTTCTCCGCTTCGCATGAAAGCTTAAATCGTCTAGTTGTACATTTTTTAAAAAGTAATAACGGTGTAAAATTAAAAACAAAATGTGTAAAAAGACTATTTCACATTGAATTTTTTTAGAAGGGAACCGTTCTTTTTTCTTCACTTTGGAAAACGTACAAAATTTAAAAAAAAATTCAATACAAAATGAGTAAGTTATTTATCTACGGCAGTCATTTGCACATAGAAGTTAAGTTGAAACAATTATACTTTTTATATGTATAAAATGAAAATGGTACGATTAAAAAAAAAGTATGTCAAATGAAAGATATACAATACAATAGACGATGATATTTACATTAAAATTGCATTTTTTTGTTTAACTTTGACAGTCATTTATTCATAGAAGATAAGGTGTCAGGACAATATATTTTTTAACTTATAGTACGTAACATAAGCTTTAATTCAAAACATATTTATATAATAAAGTATTTCTGGAATACTTTTAAAAGTTAAGATGAAAAAATTAACTTTTAGAACAAAATTTTCCGTTTTAAATCATCCTATGAGCAGATAAAGGGTGAGATATTCAAAAATTTTATATTAAATAAAAAAGAAATACATAAGGTGTATACAGGGTGGCCCACCACTCACTGACAACTTAAATAACTTTTGATCCAGTTAATATTTTTAGCTGATTTTTTTTTTAAATATTAGTTAGACGTTAGGTCTATATCTATATCTCAATAATTAATTTTTTTACATTTTATTAAAAATATTAATTATTTTTAAATTTTAAATAAAATGTAAAAAAAAAATCTAAGATAGCTATTTTGTAGAGTAGAATTTAAGAAAAATTTTAGTAAAAAAATATCTTATTAATATTCAGTAGTAAATATTCTGTAGCGTTTTGAAGTTTGTGAAAATTTGAATTTTCATGTACTATTTTACGGTATTAAACATTGAAATACGTATTGAGAAAAGGACAGAAGAAAACGCTATCTTTTCAATATACTTTTGAATGAGAGTGATAAGTAATAATTGCCTTATCTAATTTCTTATCATGGTATTTATGCCAAGTTTGTAATGTATACACACTATCATCATATGTATACACAGTAATCATGAAAAGATAGCGTTTTCTTCTGTCCTTTTCTCAATACGTATTTCAATGTTTATAACCGTAAAATAGTACATGAAAATTCAAATTTTTACAAACTTCAAAACGCTACAGAATATTTACTACTGAATATTAATAAGATATTTTTTTACTAAAATTTTTCTTAAATTCTACTCTACAAAATAGCTATCTTAGATTTTTTTTTTACTTTTTATTTAAAATTTTAAAATAATTAATATTTTTAATAAAATGTAAAAAAATTAATTATTGAGATATAGCTATAGACCTAACGTCTAACTATTATTAAAAAAAAAAATCAACTAAAAATATTAACTGGATCAAAAGTTATTTAAGTTGTCAGTGAGTGGTGGGCCACCCTGTATATAAAAAAAAATTATTTTGGATCATTCATTCGATTCAGTTGAGAGTATTGATACTATATGTATTTTTATGATTTTCTAGACGGAAAGAATATTACATTTAAGAGTGTAAAAAATTAGTAAAACAATCATTTTCTTTATATTTTAAACATATTTTGTTTCTTTACGAAATTATTTTAGGTTTTTTGCTTTATAAGTATTATATTTTTAGCATTATTTATATTTCGTAACAAATAAAAAAAATTAACGTTTAATTGGTTTAATATTAATAGTATAAACAAAACCATTTATTTCTTAATAAAAAAAAGCTGTCATTTTTCTCTTGACTTTTTCAAATAAATTAGTATACAAAAATACAATATAGTTAAAAAAACCTAACAAAAAACTTTGATGTTAATATAGAATTACAAATACATATTTTAATGATAAAAATTTATTACAAAAAAAATTAATCATTCTAGTATCACGTTGAAGCGAATACATTTTTACATATTGTTAGCTAATTATAAGTATAGAAATTATTACACTACTTTTATAAAAATAGACTTACAAATTAAAAAGTTATCAATATTTTAAATAATTATTCAATTAACTATTTATTATGATCTCTAATAATAATATAAATTATTATTCAGTAATTATATAAAAATTATAACGTTGTAACATACAATTGAGCTACTCAACTCAAACACAATTGTAATGTTAACTTAACCTTATTTTTATTTCACGACACATTAATATAACGTCAATATGGAAAAATTCTACATGAAAAAAAAAAATTATTTGTAATTATTAAATAACAAAAAAAAAACACAGTTTTTAGATATTCAATAATCATAGAATTTTATTTTATTATTTCTTTAAAATTTTATTATAAAATATATGTTATAAACCAATAACTTAAAATATTTTGAAATTTAATCCACTAGTATTTTCTGAATCTATTAATGGAATAGAAATTATCATTAGTCATAGTGGACACATTTTCTTACGAACATTAACACACTATCGTCTAACATTAAAATTCTATAATATATTTTACTGTTTACCTTTTAACATTTTTGCATTAAATTCTATATAAGAATAAAATCTATCTAGCTGATTGTTATAAAATTGTACTAAATCGACATTTGAAACTTCTAATGTAGCCATATTATAGCTGCCAATACTATATAAAACTTTAAATATAATAGCAACAAGTGGCATTTTTACCAAATATGTACAGCCTATTGTAATATTCTCCTTTGGAATATTAATAAAGTCAATACCTCTTGNAAAACGCTCTAAAAAACTCCAGCAAAGTTTAAAGAATTTCTGTTTATCTTCTTCCAGTTTTGGAGATTGGTTGTATTCATTAAAAATTAAAATTATTTCATCAATGGGTTCTGTACGTAAACGATAATCTCTAAATTTTTCTGATAGAAAATTGAAAAATGTTGAGGCCTCATTAAAATGATGACTAAACTTCTCGTGTTCTTTTGGTATGCGATCTATCATATATACTGTGAATACACTATATTGAACTAATGTTGTAATTCCAATGCTTTCAATAACATTCCTAAGCCAAACTATGGCTTCCATTGGATCGTTAAATTCTTGTATAGCATGATCCGTAATTTGTCGTAAGGTTCTTCCAACAACAGGCGTACGGTATGATAAACGAGGAGCTGAACCTAAATATTCTTCATCCAAAGGTACAGGATTATCAATGTCGTCATTTAGGTAAAATTCTTCGAAATTTTTGACTGAAACTTTAGCACTAGTATACACAGTACCATCCTTTAGTTCCAAAGGTAACAATGTTTCGTGGTAATTTATATGTTCTCTTGCGACATCATGTGTTATATTGTTCATATCAATTTGTACACACGTACAGATTTTAGCTAAACAAATTAACAAAAATGCATAACTATTTAAAATCATGTCGATAAAAATTACAAAAAACTATTAGTGAAAATTTTATATAGATATGCCGAGGAGAAAAAAATCATTACACCATAATATTTGACATACGTAGACTTTTTAAATCGAATAAACTGTTTTTACATTTTTCCGTAAATAAAAATACTAATAATATATTTTTCATAAATTATAAGCAAAAAACATTAATTTAATTTTGATTTTATAAATTATTATATTAATGCGTTTCATTTATACATTACAATAAATAATTTTTCTGAACACAAAAAAAAAAATAAATAAATAGTACAATGAATTTATATATCTTTGTCTATTAGTCAAGAAATTAAATATATATTATTCATGTAAATATTTTAAACTATTCCGAGAAATATGTATAAAAAATGCATCAATGAAAATCAAATGTAATAACTATAAGAATATGTGACAAATCATATATTTTATGTAAAATAATAATAGATAATAGTAAAAGGTTTGACACTTTTTACATGTAAAGATGGTTCAAATTTAATATAAAAGGTCACGCAAACTGGTACTTCGGCTCACTTTTATTTCACTTAATAATCTTTCATACGAAGTTAGCCAGCTTGGTCTAATCTTTCAGTGGGTTAGCTGTGTAAAATAAAGACTCTATTGAGAAGATAGAGAGTCCACTTGTATTTCTTACACTAGGTATTATTGACACGACTCACATTCAGTACAAGCTTAGATAACTACTGGTACGAGTGGCGTTATTGATACGTAATGTGTAATCACAATAATTTCTATGTCAAACTATTATTATATTAATAAATTTTCAAGCATCACTTTTTCTCTATATTTTACATCTTACCCGTATAAATCCCTCGTACTCTACCCCGAGAGATAATTATATTATATCATTTTATTCAATAAGAACAACAATAACCCAATCATTCTCATGCTCATACACCTCCATCTAATTAATTTATGTATTTCATTTTGAGTTTACTATATATATTAGAAAGTGGTATTTAGGGACGATTAATTGAGGATCTATGAATTTTAATTTTAAGTTTTTTGATTATGGGCTGTTTAGTGAGCAATGTGGACCGGAAGCTATCCAGACTCAAAAGTCTGCGCACACCTATGGCTTAATACTCAACACATAGAAAAATTCTGGGTATGCCGCTAATACAGACAAAATAATAACAACTCTTTTAATAAAAACTCATGTTTTTCAACAATAAAGCTGAAATTGCAAAACTTTTACTCAGCTATACATGGAAAATAAATTTATTTTCTATGTATATAGAGTTTTTGCATATTCAAAATGGATGTCTTCAACTAAATATGATTTGTGAAAAACATAAAATAAAGAATACTAAATAGTACAAGCTATATGTTATTTAATTATTTCAAAAAAAAAATATTTCTATAAATTAAACATGAAAAACTGAAGTTTTTAGGGGCATTCCAATATTATAAATAAATTATATTCAGTATAGCAAAAACCTAAATACGCCTTTGTCTGTACTTAGAAATGTTGTCTGCTAAAAAGATGTTTTCGTTTAACATTTTTTTTGACATTTGTGATAAAAAAAATTTCAAAGAATATTAAAAGAATGTTAAAAATACATTTTTCGATAAGTCAACTCTAAATGTAAGCTAAAATATATCTAAGAAAACCGTTTAACAACAATGAAAAATAAATTTATTTTGACTATTTCATGGGTGACATACTCTCTATAAGAACTTGCGCGCCAGAGTAACATTTACTAAACATTGACTTACCGGTGTATTTACACCATGTCACTAATAAGAAATTGTATGATTAACAATTGATGATTGTTTAATGTTTAGAAAGTTGATTAATAATCTTACTTTTATTGCAAACAATTAATTTGGAAAATTTCTAGTATTGATTAGGTTATGATTGGTGGTGGATAATGTGTTTTTAACTAAGAAAATTCTTTATAATCTCTTTGTGCACGTCAAAAAAGTATTATTTTAAGAAGGAATTTTTCTGATCATCATTTTTACGATTTATGCTTGAAGAATACATTGGAAATTTTAATTCAATCTAGTCGACACTAAGCATAGTCAAAAATGACTTTTGTAAGTACCGTAAGCAAAATATCAATTATTTATTATTTTATTTTTAATAATATTAGTTTTTATTTATTCACTATATTAATTTAATACTAAATTTCCCTAAGAAATATACTGTTCATAAGACTTTGGCGTTGATTCTCCTCTTGGTCAGCAACTCAATTGCCCGACCCGAAGAATTCACAAGTACGTTATCATCCGAAACGATCAGAAATATTCAGGGAACGTTTAAGGAATCATTATCACTGGCAAAAAAAAATCATTCAGATGACAAATTATCGCTTGTTCATCTTATACTGATTATTGGTAAAGTACTAGCTCCTATAGTGGGAGCTATCATCGAACCATTACTCGTTAATATAGCCAAAGGTATCACATGGGCCATCACTTATTCTTTAGCCACAGGTAAGCACAAGACGACGTGGCCGATGTTAGTCGGTAGCAGATGCCCTCGACACGATTGTCTATTTATGTTATACTAATTCATTACTCGTGTCGAAATTTTCTCAATAGGGTTTGCCAAACCGCTAGGTTATGAACACTTCATCCCAGAACTTGAAAACTCCGAACACGGTCATAAATTTCCAATTGCATATTCAGCTCTGAAAGAGCTACCCCAATTTGCGTTTGCCTTTACTAACGGGTTAGTAACGGAAGACGAGCAATCTTCAACACAAATCGAAGTCTTCGAAAACGTCGAAAGAAAATTAAATGGCTTAAACTTGGACAATACAAACAAGAAATATTAAAAATACGCGAATTAAATTGTATAACCTTTTGCTTCTAAATTATAGAAAATTTACTAATGAGGTTAATTATGATTTTAATTTAATAAGTTTGTTATTATTTATTTAACTAATTTGTTAATTTTTTTTTTACAATTTTTAATTTATTATAAGAATTGTATATTATTGATAAATTTTCTGGAAATAAATTCAATCTAATATTATAATATCGGCCTATCGTGTCCAAATCACTGGTAAATAATATAATGAAATATCATCTTACAAAAAAAATTATTGACACTGCTATTACTAAACAGTATTAATTCATTTTTATGATTTACAAGTTTTATATTCCAAACATTTTATATAATTTCTTTTCTTTGCTATTTTATGCCATATTAAAATGTTATGTATTAACTAAGCAATAAAATATCAATTACGATTCTACTGCAAATTTCAGAAGTATAGATTCTGATGAAGTACATAAGTATTTATAAATTGTTAATTTATTCTTCCTAAATAATAACCATGATATTTATTATTAAATAAAGCTCTCGCCGAACCGATTTCTTTCAACGATACATCAAAAGATCACAAATCGTATCTAGTCGAAGACATCGCCCTCAAATTACCCTCAATCTCCGTAAATGGTGAAAATCTCCCAAAAAATTACAAATTTTAAAATCTCTAATTTTCAAAATTTTTTCAATTTTTTTTTACTTAAAACTATCATAACTTTTTCAAAAATGACCAAATCAATATAATTTTTTTTATAGATACGTGAGGTACTTACCTATCATTTCGTATAATTTTTTTTATAAATCTGATTTTTTACTTGCCCACAGGGGGGATTCAACTTTATCACAAAAAAATAACTTTTGATAGTGTTCCAGAAATACTGACACTTATATATATATATATATATATATATCTTAAATTAAAACTAATGTAATGTACTTTATTATGGAAAAAAAAATTCAGACTTTATTTTGTCTTCACGGTGAAAATGACTACTATATGCTATTTTTGTGTTAAAATTCTCGATTTTNTCACGGTGAAAATGACTACTATATGCTATTTTTGTGTTAAAATTCTCGATTTTGAATTTTATTTTAAAATGCCTTAAAAAATTTTTTTTTAAATCATTTGTTTTTTATCTCATTTAGATTCAATAACTTTAATAAATATCTAGTAGCCCATCACTGTAGTCCACCCTCGTTTGAAGAAATTTCTTATTCATATTAGAGTTTTTTTACTATGTAATTTTTTTTATGGCTCTCATTTATTCTCTCAGCTCTATCCTGACCAACTTTTTTTAACAATACATCAAATGGTCACAACTATTATTTAGTTGAAAATATTACCCTCAAAAATTGAAAAAATCCGTTATATTAATGAAAAAATTACTCAGCTCAAACACTCCATATAGATAATTTAAATCATTCATTTTTAATGTTTTTAAAGTATTTATCGTCGAATTAAATTTGATATAATAATAAATTTCAACTAAAAAATTAAATAATTTTACTTTGTAATATATTAATTTTTAACATTATTTGTATTGCTAACAATCTATAATATTCCAAATATTTTGGTTACATGATGTTGCTATATAAATAATAAATCTAAAAAAACGGTAGCACAGTGGGGTCGAGGCACAGTAAAGACGTGGCATAGATGAGATAAGTATAGATGATATCTGACAGTGATTAAAATCACTATCATAAGAAACGCTTCGATGCAAATCTGTAGATAGTGTTTCCTTTAGAGAAATTGGTGAAATATTTTAAAAGCAACATGAACTCTTATTTCTTTAATTATATCCTGATTAGTAGTTCTTTGATTTTAAAATATAATATATGAATAAATACTAATTATAGTTTTTAAATTTAGTATGAAATTGTGAGGCCAGCTATGATGTATGGTTAATAGTGTTGGGCGGTTGATAAGAAAGTAGAGCAGAGAATAAGTGTAGCAGAGATGAGAATGCTTAGTTGGATGAGTGGAGTGACTAGAGAAGATAGGATAAGGAACGAGCATATAAGAGGAAGTATAGGTGTTGCGTCAATCGTGGATAAGATGACAGAAAATAGACTTAGATTGTTTAGTCATGGTATGAGGAAAGAAGAATCGAAAGCTGTAAGAACAGTTATAGAAATGAATGTTGAAGGAAGAAGAGATAGAGGAAGACCAAAAAAGAGATGGAGGGATGCTATTGAATGCGATTTGAGGACAGCTGATGTGAGCGTAGAAGATGTGGGAGATCGTGTCAAGTGGAAGCTTAGGATAAGGGTGCCCGACCCCAAGTAGTTGGGATTAAGGCAAAGAAAAAGAAAAATATTACCAGATATTCCGGTGGCAATTGACATAATATGATTGTTATTTCGGAATGTACAATTTAGCGTTTAGTTGGGTTTAAATAATATAGCGTCAAATCAATTACCTACTCTATCGGTTGTATCTCAATATACACTACACTTTAATGATACAATAAATAAATAAACTCACACATACACACATATGCATTTATAACATTGTGTCTAATGTAAGTATAACATGATAAAAAGTAACCGTAAAATGAAAAAAATGGAATATAAATTTTATTACTCATATTAAATGTAATGTAACTCGAAAAATATTTGTTTAAATGAAAAAATATAAGATTATATTTTTATTTATAATTGTCTTTTAAACAACTTTTGTGCGAAACTTTTTTTTGTAAGTTAAATATTTTTTTTTGAGAAAATTAAGAAAGCTCATATTTTTGAACTTTTGCGAGGATTTAAAAAAAAAGCTCAATTCCAATCTTGAGGACTATTAGTATGTCATTATACATATTTTAATTCAACTTTTAAAAAAACAAAATTTTTTCCGCAATTTTTCCTTTGTTGACAGGCCTAGATGTCAATTTTAAACTTGTAATTGAGCTAAAAGTTATGGTAATATATTCAATTTATTTTACTATAAACTTTCATAAATCTTTATCAAAAATTTTTCATCAACTTTAAAGAACCAAAAAAATAGGTTAAAATTGAAAATTTGGACTGATTATTTTTAACATATTAAAAATCAAATCAGTAATAATTTGAAAACAAATTTTTTTTTCTTTTAATTATTATTTTATATATATAATTAGTAATAATATAAAAAATTAGAAGTGATAGAAATAGTCTACTTGCAGATTTGAAAACAACGCGAAAATTTGATTTAGAAAAGTATATTTTTGCTTCTGATGAAAGTTCCTTGTAGTCCAGTGCATTTTTTTATAGTAACAAACAGTTTTTATTGAAAATTATTGTATCAAGCCCTTTAAATTTTTATACACGTAAAAGTAAAGCAAAATATAACTTCTTTATTATTTTTATAATTTCTCCGTTTAAATTACAATATTAAATATCAATTTCATACTAAATTTAATAATTATAATTAGTATATATTCATATATTATATTTTAAAATCAAAGAACTACTAATCATGATATAATTAAAGAAATAAGAGTTGATGTTGCTTTTGGAATAATCCACCAATTGCCTAATTAAAACAAAAAAAAAAAAAGTTTGTTGGGAATTTTTTCTGCTATTCTGCAAAATTACTCCTTCGTTGACTAGAATGAATCATTAAATAGAAAATTTTATGAGAATTAAAACAATGTTATTTTTAAGATTAATATGCAGTCAGAAAGTTTTATAATTATTATTTATTGTAAATTTATCAGAAAAACTCATTATTTTTTGCATTTTTATCGTAATAGAACACTTAAATAGAAATCATAGTAATCATTTCTAAGTAATTTTTGATATTTAAAAAGATTCTACTATTGAAATATCCAGAACTGAATTAATTTTAATGATTTACTTTAACTAAAAAAAAAAAAGTTAATATTTTGAATCCCTCTTGTGGGCAGGTAAAGGGTTAGATTTATAAAAAAAACCAAATGATAGATAAAGACATGCATCTAAATAAAAAAAAATATACTGATTTGGTCATTTTTGATAAAGTTATAACAATTAACAAAGTTATAAGTTTTATACACTGGACTACAAGGAACTTCCATCAGAAACAAAAATATACTATTCTAAATCAACTTTTCGCGATGTTTTAAAATGTGCAATTAGACTTTTTCTATAACTTCTAAGTTTTAATATTATTAAAAAATAGTTTTTACATATAAAAAAAAATAATTAAGAACAAAAAAAATTGTTTTAAATTAATACTGATTTGATATAATATTTAATATTAATTTGATTATTAATAAGTTAAAAATAAGGAAAATGACATATTTAACCTATTTTGTTAATCGTTTAAAGTTGATTGTTGTAAATGTTTATAATAAAAAAAAAAAATTTATTTTACCATAACTTTTAGCTCAATTGGTAAGTTTGACATTGACATAATTAAATAGAAAATTTTATGACAATTAAAAAAATTGTATCGTTAAGATCAATATGCAGTCAGAAAGTTTTATAATTACTATTTATTGTAAATTTATCAGAAAAGCTCAATATTTTTTTGCATTTTTATGGTAATAGATAACTTAAATAGAAGTAATAGTAATAATTTCCTAGGAACTTTTGTTGTTTGTTGAAAAGATTCTATAATTGAAATATTGAGAACTTAATTAATTTTAATGATTTACTTTAACTAAATGTACCAATCAAAACAAAGTTGTTAAAAAGATTTACTCAATTGAGTGTATTATAAAATTTGATTATATTTGTAAAAATCAATTGTTAATTCAGGAGAAAAAACAATCATTTTTTTTAGAAATGATTTATATAGCAACATGTTACAAAAAAAAATTGTAATATTATAGTCTAGTAGTAGCACACACAAATAGAGTAAAAAAATTATTAAATTACAAAGTAAAATGATTTAATTTTGTAGTTGAAACCTATCATATCAAACTTCATTCGTTAATAAATATTTTGAAAACATTAGAAATTAATGATTTTAATTGTCTTTATGGAGACGATGTAATAACTAACTGTTTAATTGATAAATTAGAATTTTTTTTTCAATTTTTGAGAGTAATATCTTCAACTAGATACGAATTGTAGT